CTTGATATCCTCTCCCTAGAAAGTTAAACCTTTAGCAAGGAGTTTGCCATTGGAATAACTCTATTTCCTATTGAATCTTACCCCGAAAATTCATTACCAATCTCCTCTAACTGGTGGCGACGGTGGTTGTGATGTGGCGGTCTAGTGAGTTAGTGGTGGTTATGGTGCGACATCCAGGTTGCTTTTAAGTCCAGTTTTTGGATCTGATTTTATTGGTTGCAATGGTGAAGTTAGCGGTCTAGGCAGGAGGTGGCGATGTTGTTGGTGGTGGTCGTGGTGGTGTTGGTGGTTGTCGTGGTGGCGATGGTGGTGGTGGGATGTGATGTGATGTGGTGGTGGTGGTGGGGTGTGATGCTGGAGGTGCTGTAGGGTGTTGGCGGTGGTGTAGGATGCTAGCGATTTTGGTGTGTTTGGGGAGGCAGTTGTGAAAGTTTTGATATGGTAGAGGCTGTGGTTATAGTTGTCGACGTTGGTGGTGAATCTAGCGGTTGCGGTGTTTTATGATTGGATTTAGTAGAGATGGANGGTGTAGGATGCTAGCGATTTTGGTGTGTTTGGGGAGGCAGTTGTGATAGTTTTGATATGGTAGAGGCTGTGGTTTTTGTTGTCGACGTTGGTGGTGAATCTTGCGGTTGCGGTGATTTTTGTTTGGATTTAGTAGTGGTGGATCTAACGATGCGCGTGGGTGGACAGGGCTTGGTGGAACGATTTGTGGAATTTGTCGGTGGATGTAGTGGTTGAGTAGGGTATCGACGGTTGATTTGTGACTTGTGACTTGTGACCTGGGATGTGACTTGATTTGTGACTTGTGACCTGGGCTGTGACTCTTGACTTGTGACTTGTGACCTGAGCTGTGACTTGTGACATGGGTTGTGACTTGTGACCTGGGTTGTGATCGTAAAAAAAACATGTCAACCGTACAAAAAAATATAGTGGAGTTGTCGCTGGAATATTCGCCGGAGTTGTAACAACTGCCGAAATCGGAGCAGTCACCGAAAAAAATCGTCGTCAAAACGGTCGTCGGAATAGTTGTCAGAACGGTCACCGAATCGGAGTAGTTGCCGGAATGGTCGTCGGAAAATTTGCCAGAGTAGGGCGATGATCGGAACAGTAGCCGGAGCGGTAGGGATGGTGAAGG